ACATTAGGGTTTAGGGTTAGGGTTAAGGGTTAGGGGTTTGGATTAGGGGTTAGAGTTAGGATTAGACATTAGGGGTTAGGGTTGAGGGTTAAGGGTTAGGGGTTTGGATTCGTGGTTAGGGCTAGGGTTAGGGTTAGGTTTTTTTAAGAAACTCTTTACAACTTTAACTTGGACCAAGATTTGCACAATCTGACTTCATATTTAACTCAGATAGCTTGTTGGCTGGTTTGTGATACAGAGCTCATGCCAATGGCATGGTTTCAATTCCTATACTGGCTGAGATTATCATGAGGGAAGCTCCTTCTCAACGTCTCCCCTGGCCTGAGGTGTGGTGACCCTCAGGCTAGACTACTACCAGTGGTCTCTCTCTCTCTCTCTCTCTCTCTCTCTCATGAGACAGCAGCCCTATGGTCTAGTAGAACTATGGTGACTTTACCTTCACTTCCTTGTGTGAATCAGTGTCTTACAACATTTTAAATGATTCTGCAAAACATGTTTTAATTACCTTAAAAAGGTGATATATAAATCATTATTGTTAACATTGGTGGTGCAACTGGCCAAAATGCCAGTTTCTGAGTAAATCACTTCTTTATTTTTTTTCTTGGGATGGGATTTTATAAACAATCGATGATGGTTGTCCTGGTAACCATAACTATGAGAAGTTTTATATTCCAGTGTTGAATTAACTGAATTTTAATTCCACCATCTGCTGTGGTGGGATTTGTACCTGTTTGGCCAATGCAGTTGCCTACACAATTGAAGGCAGTGGCCTAGTGGTATTATCACTGGGCTGTTAATCCACTTACCCAGGTAATGGTCTGGGGGCCTGGGTGCAAGTCACGCCATGGCAGATGGTGGAATTTGAATTCAATAAAAATCTGGAATTAAGAGTCTAATGATGGCCATGGAGCCAACGTTGATTGTTAGAAAAACCCATCTGGTTCACTAATGTGCTTTAGGGAAGGAAGCTGCCATCCTTATCTACATGGGACTCCAGACCCACAGCAATGTGCTTCACTCTTAGCTGCCCTCTGGGCAATTAGGGATGAGCAATAAACGCTGGTCCATCCAGTGACACCCTCATTGCATGAGTGAATTAAAAATGACCAGTAGATTACTAACCCAGTAACATCACCATCTCCCCAACTATGCCTCCAAGATCACTGGATCCTTATCCTTTGCACAGCAGGACAGTTTCTAACTGCATAGTTGGTGAAGGGATCTTGTCAAAGAGAGAATCTTGAGCTACTAGGTAAACAAATGCATGCAAAAGAAGGTGGAGGGACCTGAACAAGAGCCACAAGAAAAGAAAACACACTTCAATATATCAAAAGGGTCTCCTATTACCTTATTCTAAGGACACTTAGCTGCAAGGTCATGTTGTATGTTTGGTTGCGCCCCACAGTAGTAACACTGATCACTGTTGATTGCGGACCTGACAGCTCATACAGGGACAGTCAAGTTTATTTCTCAACAGATCCCAGCCTTTCAAAGTAACCACTTCAAAGCAGCTCTGCATATTCTTTTCCTGAGGTCAACGACCCATGGATTGGTATTTAGCAACCTCATCTCCCTGTCGCCACTGCAGAGAACTTTTTTTAACCCATCAAGGTAAGCAATGTCAACATTAGGGAATGGGATGCTTCAGAAATCCAGGAGCGAAATTGGTTTGTGTAACGAATACACCTCTGGCTACCTCCTGCGCGGCTGACACAATACTGCGAACAGCACGTGTCAATGTGCCTCCCTCATGGGTCTAGACGTTTTGAACAGACATTCTCCTGGCATTACCCAGTGGAATGGGCAATGCCAGAATTGGTAACTTTGACAACTTAGGTGAAGCCCACCAATATAAACATGACTCAGTAAGGACATGCCAATGGGATCTGAACCTTATTGATTACAAGAATGGGTACAAAGCAGTCACTCGCTGCCATCCTCAAATGCTTGTGTGATTCCGGGCATCATGCAATGTGATAGCTCTGGGCACATGATCTCCAGAATCCACAACGGCTGGAGTCTTGAAGCCCCTACTCTGATTCCCTAGTGTCCCTCAAAGTTGTGTTCTCTCCATGATACAATGGGGGAGAAAGAGCAGAGGTTTGGTGTATGGGCAACGTGGTCATTATAGATGAATAGCTGGGCATCTGAGGAGGCAGTGGCGGTTGGCAGGGTGCAGCATTTGAATAATAGGCATGAGTTCTGAGTGCCAAGGAGGGCTAGTGATGGCGCTGTGTCACCTTAGCAACACGAGACACTGGCACAGTGATGGGCATGAGATGCAACAGCAAGACACAATCACTGAACTGGACTGCATGGGTGGAGGTAACTATACAGTTTCTGGTACCGTTGCCTTTCCTGGTGTTGACCGACCTGGTGACAGGCTCTCAGACCCTCTTCAGGATCAGGTGTGAGGGCTTCCTGCCTTTCCCAGGAAAGATGACGTCCCTGTGGAGTGCACCTCACTCACCAGAATCTCCAAGGCAACAACGCATCTGGAATGTGCTGCCTTGTGTGCTGTGCCAATGTGCTTTGAATCATGAGCCATGCTCTGAGAGGGGCATGCTAACTGCACCATGTCATCTGCAAACCATACAAGCTGATCCCCCCTACAGAGGCTACAGGGCAGCGTGGAGGTCTGAGAAATAACACTGGAGACATTTAGACAACCACACAATCACTCAGAGGATGCTTTTCTGTGGCCTACCTCCATCCAAACAAATACAGCAGACCCTGAACTATCATCTTCATATCCAATTTTGCCCTCTTACCCTGCTCTCAATGGCAGCATCAGGCATTTGAAAGATCAATTATTAGCATCAGGGAAAGTGTGTTCTGTCAGATTGGAAGCATCAGTCCTTCAGCACAATACTGCAACTTGCCAAGGCAACTAACAGGAGTAATATGTTAGAAACAAACTCTCCCTTCAGCCTCCAATGGGAACCATTACCCGAACAACAAATAAGCTGAACGTCACCAGACCACTGCGATATTGTTCTACCATTTCTGCTTTCCCACAATCCCACCATCCGGAGTTGCCAGTTTGAGTTTGGGAGCTTTTCCAAATTTCATTCACAGGACTTAGCCTTTGCCAGCTGGCCCAGCATTCATCCCTGGCTGCCCACAGAGCTGACATCTTGAACTACAGTGATTCTCGGGGTGTGAGGGCAGGAGCTGTAGGATTTTGATCCAGGCCAGTGAAGGAATGGTGATGTAGCTCCTGTGAGACTTGCAGGAAACTTGCTGCCATTCCATGTATCTGTCACCTCTTGGCCTTCGAGTTGGTAAAGGTCACAGAACACAGCCAGGCACTGGAGATATTTTAAGACTGTCACTGTCCCTCAAGTCAGAGCAATGGGTTTTAGGTAACGGATGGAGAGATTTGTACCTTACAGCCTCTGTTAGAAGTAATCAGGAAAAGGTGACCTCACTGAGCTACACCAGACAGCCAAGATATAAAAAAGGTGCATCAAAAATCAAATACTTCAAAATTAAGCTACAAAAGGAAAGGACAATGAACTCATTCGGACAACAACTTAGTTTTATTGGATGGAAAGCACATGCGGTCTTTCCATACCCAAAACTATCAGCTGAATGGACTTTCCTTGGGAATTCATTTCCCATCTTCAGAAAGGAATTTTCATTCATAAAGCACCTTTTCAGCATTCCCAAAGTGGTTCATGGCCAATGACAGCACTATGAATTGTGGTACTGCTGTAATGTTAAGAATTGCAGTGATCAATTTGCACATAGTAAGCTCCCATATACATGAACAGTGTACAGTTCACCTGCTTTGGTGCTATGGATCAGGGACAACATTTCCCAGATCACCAGAAAGGCACATACACGCTTCTTCAACGAAATGCTATGGAATCTTTTGCAGCACTCCCTCAGTGCCATACTAAAGCATCAATTTAGATTTTGCACTCAGTTCCTGTGCTTGGTAGCAGTGTGCACCATCTACAGGATGCACTGCAGTATCTCCTCACCTTCTGGACCTGCTAGCATTACCACCTAGAAGGGCATTGGGGCAACCATTATGTGAAAATTACCCTCTGATTGACACATCGTTCAGATTTGGAACTGTATCACTGTCAAAACCCTGGAGCTCCCTTTCTAACAGCACTGTGAGAGGACATTTACCACATGAACTATAGCAGTTCAAGTAAACAGTTTCATACCACCCTCTCATTGGTGGTAGGGATGGGTAATAAAGGCTAGCCTAGCCTCCAATTCCCACATCCCGGAAATGAATGCTTACAAACGCTCCGGAGGGAAATGTGAATGCGCACCCTTCTGGCTCAGCACCGAGATTGGCTACCAACAGAACAGGAGTAGGGAGTGAATGTAAATCTTCCAACCCCTGCCAGTTACTAGTTCAGAAACATAAATACTCAGTAGGCATCAGTATTCCCAAAGCTAGAATGTGATTCTCACACAGGGATCGATTGGAATGACCCAGTTGCGGTATGAAGTAATATCCCAAATATTTCCAAGTGATCAAATGAGATGTTGCAGCAGACTTTTTCCTGTGTTTTAACTCGAGAAAATATCCCTGGAAAATGAAATCCAGTCTCCCCATTTCTCTCTCTCTGGGTGCGATAGATATTTCAAATATGTTGCAACATACTTCTAGACTTGAACTGAATCTTCTCCTAGATCTTTGCTTTAAAATTATGGGGGTGCATTACACAAGGCAGTTGATTCCATTGTAGAATCCCAACAGTGTGGGAGCAGGCTATTTGGCCCATTGAGTCCACACTGACCCTGCAGAGAGCATTCCACCCAGACCCACCTCCCTACCCTATGACCCTGCATTTCCCCAAGGCTAACCCACCTAACTAGTGACACTACAGGGTAATTTAGCACAGCCAATCCACCCATCCTGCACATCTTTGGACTGTGGGAGGAAACCAGAGCACCCGGAGGAAACCCACACAGCCACGGGGAGAATGTGCAAACTCCACACAGACAGTCGCCCGAGGGTGGAATTGAACGCGGTCCCTCATGCTGTGAGGCAGCAGTGCTAACCACTGAGCCGCCATGCTGCCCCCTTGTGTCTTTGTTATTCACCCAGAGTGCTTTGGTTTCCCTGAAAATGACACGTCAGCCTTTCCAAACAGTATTCATTATTTTCAAAACACGTTCAATTCTTCCCAAAAGGAATCAAGAGTCAAAATGGCTGGCGGTACTCAGTGAGGGGCATTGCAAGTGGTGAGGGAGGGGACCGTTGTTGGGTACCATTGGAATAGCCAGAGTTGGACACCCAAGTGTTTCTCATGAATAGTTTCACAGTGCAGCCACCACCAAGCTCTTTCCCTCTGAGAAACTCAAAGAATCCCATGCCCCTTTTGGGCACGATGACCTGAGCTGGCAGTGTGGGGTGCTACTACCGAAGGAGGGTGACTTATAACTCCCCCTCTGAGATGGCAGCACAGTTGGCAGGGGAAGGGGCAGTGTGCCGCGCTGTCGAGAAGAGCCATCCTTCAGAGAGGTGCTCAGTCTGGGTCCCATCTGCCTGCTGCAGTGGTTCAGTTGGATGTTAAACAGCCCCCCCACGGAGAGGCAAATCCTCCACCGTGTGCTCTCCTGCAACCAACAGCAACAAGAGGAGCGAAGGGAGGGGGAGAAAATAAAGCCAACAGATTATCTCAGCTACTTATGGAGACATTACTGACAAGATGACAAGCACGCCTGCCTACATAGATCACTGTTTCGAAAAAAAATTCACCCTGTGTGCTGTGTGAAATATGGTACAGGAAAATTAGCAGCATTTTCTGTGTCAGCAGTACTTGGAGACTGCAATACGTTTTGTAAAAATTCAATGCTGTGATTTAATGCACAGGTGCTGTTGTTGATTTATGCCTTGTTGATTCAAGGAGGGAGTATTTTTGGGTCACTGCCAGGCATTGGATCCTGTTTGTAGCTAAGTGAATGTGTTAGATAGAAGGGGAGAATACACAAAGCCTGTGGAGCCTTATTAAATGTACATCTGGAGCTCTCCAGATGGAGTGTGCAAAAGAACTATCTCGGTGCAGCGCACACACCCCTCTATAACAGGATACGGACTGGGACGTCAGGCCCTGTCAGGCCTAGGAATGGAGGCGGCCCACATCCCAGTTTACCAGTTCCATCACGCCCCCTTGGCTGCTTTCCCAGAGGCGGGGTGGGAGCGAGCATGGCTACTGACCCACAAGGAGCAGGAAGCTGACTACAGACCTACCAGGGCATGCTGAAGGAGCCGCTAGCTACAAGACGCGTGTCTATAAAGGCCATTTATTGAAATCTGAAAAAATTACACAGACAGGACCTCCACCTTGAAGCACTCTCTTCTCCCTTTGTTTTTGGAACAACCCATCACCAAATCTCCCAATTAACCAATTCAACAGATGATTTACAAGAATTGCCCACCGTGGAGTGGGAGGAGGGGGAGAATTTCTTTGTATTTTGGAAAACCAACCACCAAATCACCCAATTAACCAACTACCAAATAACAATGAATGGGCACTGCCACCAGGGACAACAGAACAACCACTAAAAGGAAGGGTCGGAAAAGAGGGAGGGGTTTACTCTACAATGAAGTCGGAGGGTGAGGTAATGGATTCTAGCCCCTGTGGTGCCCATCTCTCTCTGAAAGTTGAAAAAAAAAAGTTTTTTTTATATTTTCTAAACAACCTGTTCGGAGACGTCATGACAATACATCTGGGTTTCAATCTTGGAAATATGAAATCCAAAGAGCATCATTTCTCTCAAGTAACTCTAGAGCTGTTTTAGTTGACATTTAGAAAGATCTTTGTTTCTAACATTGACAGGAGAGGCCACTCTCTTCCTGTTAATTGGTGACTCCAGGGAAAATCATATTGAGTGACTAATTGCAAACATTGCGTGTTTCCCATTTGAGCAGGATGAGAAAATTCTACATTATGTGAGCTACTGTACTGACTTCCTAATGTCGATATCTTCAAGCTTATTGTCTTCCCAACCACTCATCATCTTCTGGGCCAAGAACAGCTGTCTAGATAACAGTTGCCATTTGATATAGAAAGGAGAAGGACGGAAGGTCACCTTATAAATGTCCAAAAATTTACGACTAGATTGATGGCACAAATAGAGAGCAAATCTTTCTGCTTGTGGGTGAGCCCAACACAAGTGCTCATGAATACAAGGCAGTTACTAATAAATCCAATAAGTAACTCAGCAAAAATATCTTTTCCCAGAGAGTGGTTAGAATGTAAAACTTCTTACCACGTGGAGTGGTTGGCACAAATAGCATTGACTCATTTAAGGGGAATCTGGCTAATTACGTGGGGGAGAAGGGATTGGAGGAATCTATGGGCTGAGATGCAGGGAGGAGGTCTGAGTTTTGCTGTAAATTCTGCACAACTTTATATTACAGCTAACTCTCAGT